CCCCAAAACCCCAAAACCCCAAAACCCCATTAGGAGTAATAGCATTATAAAGTTAGTGGATATTTTTTCTGCAAATAATTATTTGAGATAACTTTGTAATTTCAATATAAAAATTTTAGTTTTTAAACTAGCTAGTATCTAATATACAATGGAAAGTTCAAGAAAGAAAGTCGTTATTACAGGAATCTCTGGTTTTCTTGGCTCTCAAGTATGCAAAACATTCTTAGAGTCTGGAAAGTACCATGTCAGAGGCACTGTTAGAGATAAAAACAATGAAAAAAAGATAGGTCCTCTTAGAAAAGCTTTTGGATCTCTTTTTAATGACCTAGAATTGGTTGAAGCTGATTTGATGAATGCTCAATCTCTAGATTCAGCTATCCAAGGTATGGATTTTGTCATTCACACAGCATCTCCTTTCCCTGGAGAGAAGCCAAAGGATGAGAATGAAATCATAAAGCCAGCAGTAGAAGGTACTATGGCTGTGGTTAGAGCAGTTCACAAGTATAAAGTAAAGAGAGTTGTCATCACATCTAGCGTTGCCTCTATAATGTTTTAGACTGAAGAAACCAAGAAAGATATATACACTGAAGCGGATTGGTCTAATCTCAAAGGATGTGAGCCTTATGAGAAATCTAAGACCTTAGCTGAATAAGCTGCCTGGGATTATTTGAGAGATTTACCTGAAAATGAGAAATTTGAGCTGGTTACAATAAATCCATCTTTAATCCTAGGACCTAGTATTGTTCAATCCGATTTTACCTCTGGGATTGTCATTCAAAAAATAATGGGAGAAAAATTCCCAGGAATGCCAAAAATTATGTTCCCAATTGTTGATGTCAGAGATGTAGCTCTGGCTCATTTGAGAGGAATCGAAGTGGAAGAAGCCAAAGGTAATAGATTCATTCTTAGTTGCAAAGGAGTCTGGTTTGTTGAGATAGCCTCAGCACTTAAGAGTGAATTTGGAAAGTCTTACAAAATCAAAGATAAGGAATTAAGTTATTGCACAATCAAAATTGCAGCATTATTTGACAAATCAGTGAAACTTATAGTACCTATGTGGGGCAAAACACTCAACCTTGAAAACTAAAAGTCAAGAGATATTCTTGGAATAGATTACATCTACCCTCAAAAGAGTGTCATCGATATGGCTCACAGTATGATTGAATCAGGCCTTATCAAAAACAAGATTAAGAAATGATTTCCTAAGCTTCAAAATGTGGATTGAAGGAAAATTCCAATTAGCTGCAAACTTAATATCAAATAACTCTAAGATTCTACAATAATCAGCACTTATATATTTAGCTCGCAGCATACCAAGATCAAATAATATTTCATTAATATTTTCCAGAAAATGTCTAAAAAGCTCAATGGTTTATAAATACTGCTACGGGGTTTTGGGGTTTTGGGG